AAGATTTCTTAATGATTCTGACTCGCTTTTTCTCTATCATGCTGAATGACTAGTTGATATGCTGTCATTGCTTCATGCCTGTAGTATTAGACACAAAATGTGTGCAAATATTATAATATAACAGAAAAATGCTTGGCACAATTTGAATGTGTGGTAGTATAAAATTTTTTATAACTTAACTATACATGCTTAAAAAGATGAAGCTTTGCAGATTAATAATTTTATATTTCTTTTAATACTGTAAATTTTCTTTCTCACTATTTACATTATTCGGACTATTGTTAACATATTACGTTTCGGCCATTGTACGCTCCAGCCTTCTTCAGGTGGTGGAACTGAACCCTTTTATTTTGTTCACTGGGGTAGACTGTTCTAGTTCCATGTGCCATGTTTAATGGATGTCAGTTATCAGTTATCTCCTGTTAATTTCCCTCTGAAAGTTCTCTTTAACCGGGTGTTGAACTCACACTCTTTGGGTCCCGTCACTGGATCTAACCAACACTTTTATCCACTGTGCCATGTATCCTTGAGGACATCTGTGTATGAATTTCTGGGTATTATAAACCTAATGTCACAGCAACCGTTTTTTTTTACTAGTGCTCATATTGCAATTTTTGCTGTTATCATTACATGTTTCCATTCATTTCTATGCAACCAAGCCGATTTTTGTGGCCTAGCATATGTGCTGATTCTTTAAGTTTACGAATTTTCTAATGGTGTTCTTTGTCTATGATCTCAACCTGATCCCACAGAGGGCGGTGAGGTGATCTCCCTTTCTGCAGCATGCATACAGTCTTTAGTCATGTTCTCCTCTATGGGGTGGGGTCTTACTTGGGAGAGATATTTGCAAAGTGTCGTCCAGCTTTTGAAGGTTGTCCTGATATTATATGGACTGCAGATACTTTGTATTTTCTTGATAAGCCCTTCACATAAGGTAGGCAGACTGTTTTCTGAGTGTTGTCCTCCTCTTGTACCTAGAAATGAATACAATATGGGAGCCAGTAATAAGGAGTGCCAGAGAAAAGTGATAACAACAAAAATTGCAATATGTAGGGATGTAATTTTCACTAAAGATTTTTTTTATTTTGACAAACTGATTAATAGAAATAATTTTAATAACAGCTGCTATAAATTGAATCTATTTGTTTAAAAAAAAAATCTTAATTTTAGATTTTTTAAAGTTTTTTTTCAGAAATGTTATAAATTATATTTCCCTTTTTTTTCTATGTTAAAGTGTTAAAATGATTCAAACATACTCTGTTGATATTTGAGAGAAAAATATGCATGAAATTTCAACTTGTACAAGCTCATGAAATAGAAACCAGTATATTGCTAGCTCAGACTGCTATGTTTATGGGCAGTGTTCAAACTTACCTGTCCCTGCTGATGAGCAAAAGAAGAAAAATGCAGACGAATTTCAGTGTCAAATGTTCCCAGAGATTATCCTGTCAGCGACAAACTATACACAGTACAGAGAACCCCTTGCAACAAATAGCCTTCAGCCTTAATTATTAAGTTGGTAATCATAGACATTGGTAGTGCAAATTCAGTTCCAAATCAATCCTTAGTGGAAAGAAATGTGAAACAAAAAGAAAAAAATGGATGGTAGTGAGGTGATTAAGATTTTGATTGTTGCTACCAAATTATCTAAAAACTGGATACTGAAAAAGTGGGTATGAGCCAAAAAAATGTGGAGATATTGAAGCAGGACTGAAAAAAAATTAATGATTTTGAAAATAAGTTTAAATGTACTTAAGGTTGGGCTGAGAATTTCTTGTATGCCATCTCTGAATTCAAGTGATCTGTTGGCAATTCTTCACTAAGGACCCCAACACTGTATCACAAACTGATTCAATCAGAAAATCTTCAGGGTTTTTTTTTTTTTTACTTGGTGACATAGCAGGAATCCTTTCTTTGAGGGAGATAGAGAACAGATGTCAACAGGTTGGTTAGCTACTCATTTTCACATAGCTTCTTTCTCTTCTGAAACCATAGCATACAAAGGAATCTGGGACATATAACATCAGGGCTCTTGGCTTCTCTACTGCCATAACTGTACTGTTCCTTGATCTTAACAAAAATTAAGCAATCCATCACTGACAGGATTCCATGCCATCATTGTTCAAACTGCCTCCATCAAATTGTTCTAGTTCCACATGCCATGCCTTTTCTGGATATCTCGGTTATTTCCCCTTTAGTAACTCAACTATAGAAGTTTTTGTTCACTTCTGCTGTGGCCAAAGACACATAACACAGTGGATAAAAGCCTGTTGCAGTAATTCAGTGACTTGATCCAAAGAGTAACCACAGCAGAGGTGAACAAAAACTTGGAAAGTTGAGTTACTAAAGGGAAATAACTGAAACTGCCATATCCTGAAAAGGCATGGCATGTGGAACTAGAGCAATCTACCCTGGTGGACTAAATAAAGGGTTTGGTTTGAAATTCCAATGTATATCACCTGAAAAAGGCTTGAGTCTACAATGGCCAAAACGTTGTGAATATAGCAGATGCGAACAATGTAAATAGTGTAAACAGTTACAATACCTCATCTCGGAAATAAACAGATAATAAAAATTTGATTTGATTTTTTTTTTTTTTTTTTTTTTTTTTTTTTTTTTTTTTTTTTAACAATCAATTTGGCCAATTAGATAAAATCATCATAATTGTTGTCATAAAAATGATATTGATACAATGATACTTCAGTACCTATTTGAATTATTTTGATGTGAATGTTTTTAGCTGGAGCCTTCCAAAAATGTCTACAAATTCAAGATTGGTACAGATATTTAATAGATGTAAATAGTTTCATCCTGTCTTAAGCAATAACAAATATGCTTTACTTAGAGATTTTATAAGACAGAAGAAAAACAAAAATAATTGAAATGTTTTTCACTCCCAAAGAAAAACTAAACACAAATAAATGAAACAAAAGGAAAAAAATAACTTAGAATGAAAGGAAACAAAACTGTGATCATATAGTAGCATATTGCAGTTTAGCTTAGTTTGCATTCTGCATAATGATGTTGTATTGGTATGTTCACAACAAAATTATTTCCTTCATTGAACCATATTACTTTACTGACCTTATCTTCTGTAGTACTGTGTCTTTGGGATTCAGGACATTTCAGTAACAAAGACAACTTTGAAAGGTAGCTAAAAACTATTTTTCCTTGGCTTTAAAAAAAAAAAAAAAAAGTGGCATATCTTCTGGATTTTTTTTTCCAGTGCAGTCTCCATCTACAAATACTTACCACAGTGATATTAAGGAAGTGTGCATTATTATTATTATTTTTTCTCAATTAGATCTTGTGCTGTAATTCAATGATTGGGAGTGGGGGCCATGGCAAATGACTATGGGGCTTGTCGTTCTTTCACCTCAACAAAACCTTTCTCAGAATTCTGGCCACTCCAAGCAGTGCTATTTTCTGAAGCACCTCATTTTGAATCTGAATCCGTTTTACCCAATCATTTTTGGATTTTGTCTGTCACAGTGTTAAGGATGCCCACAACAGCAGGAATAACATGTTTTTAAGCCCCTATAAGTGTGCAATCACATATTTCAAACTTTGACATCATTCTTCTTCCACTACACATGTGCACTGGTACTGCTATATCAACGATTCAATATTTGTTTGTTTTCTGGATAGTAATGATGAGAATAAAAAAAAAAGAAGCACAATTTCTTTCTGAGAATATAGTTTCTGCAAAGAGACATTTGCATATCAAATAAATCAGTTTATCCCATGTATTTTTTTATATAGTATTTGAATTCTAACCTACTTTTCTTTTGTAAGTAGTATTTGACACAGTGGAAAGCAAAAACTGCTGTAATTTGAGACTACTGAAACAGGATTATCATTATTTCATTTTTTTAGGTGTGTAAAACCTGTAAACAATGAATCACGTTTTCTGTCTTGGGGTGTATATAAGATTCTTTATTTTTTTTTTTTTTTTATTTCCTAGTTTTAAAATTTTTCTTTTTCATAAATTGATTGTGTCAGTGACTAGTTTCATGTTTCAATTCTTGCAATGTCAAAAAGAAAATTGATACTTTTCATTTTCTTTGGGTAGTATCACTTTAATCAATTTATTTATAACCCTCATGCCCCAAAGATCTTTACTTTAACCCTCATGTCAGAAACTTATAGATGACCAAAGTTGAACAAGTACCCATCAAAGTTGCACAACCACCAAAACCTATAACCATTTCAATTGTAAAATGAGATCTTGCTGCAAATCTAATACTGCACTTAAGCTCATAAAGTCTAGAAATCATTGAGGACATTTCATCGGAAATATGTAACCACAGGATCAGACCAGGTGTAGCAGAAATATTTGAAGCATGGATGAATGGTAGACTTAAAAAATATGTAAGATAGATTCTGGTGAGAGAAATTGTATAGCATGTAATTGGTTTTCAGTTTATCTGTATCTGGTCTTACTCTTACATTTTATCTGTTTTGTTGGCTTTAGTGTCAGCATTTAAGTGTAGATACTTTTATTACTTGAACAAAAAAAAATCCGTATCTTTTCTCAATTATTCCAAGAAATAGGACTCCAGATAAACCTTTCCAAAACGGAAGCTATAAACTGGAATTGAAATGAAAGCAGTGAATGGCACCTAGCCTGAAATTATCATGAAAAATCAGGAATTAGTAAATACTAAACACTTCAAATAATACCTTGGTGTATAGATCAGTTATAACAATTTTAATTTAGGAGAGAAGGAAATTGAACATAGAATAAGCTTAGGGTTAGTCTTGCCTAATGCTGCAAGTTGTTACAAAACCAAAACACTAACTTTAAAACTTGCCCTGCTTTATTTATTTATTTTTATTTATTTATTTATTTATTTATTTATTTTAACAAATTGAGACTTTCATATGGATATCATGCATAGTGCCAAAACTTTTCAGAAATAACTAAACTGTCATTTGTATATAATCACTTTCTCAGATTGATGGTTAAATATGGCTTTGAATGAATTAAGTATGTAGTCAGGCTGAAACACCAATACCCTTATGATCACTGAAATTAAGCAATATTGAGCCTGGTCGGTACCTGGATGGATGACCACTTAGGAATATCAGGTGCTCTAAGCTTGGATATGTATGTGATGTAATGGATAATGGCTCCAAATTGTTAATCGGAGAGTGTTCCAATTCCTGTTGGGTTTGTTATTCATTTATGTGCAAATACCTTTGGGGAAGGTGTGAATCCACTTCTTCCCACCTCCCAGCTAGGGGTTACTTGTATCGCTAAATCCTCTCAAAACATTACAGTGTAGAAAATATTTTCTGGCTTTAAATAAACTGCAAAGTGTTTGATAAACCATAGAAAATGAATCAAATAAAGCATGTAGTGAGGACCATCATTCTTTGAACCTCAGGGACTGGTGCTACACAATCACAAAGAACTGAACCAAATAATTGAAACCACATCACTTCAGGACTTTCACTAATAGTAACAACTAAAATGGGTAGCACATGTAACGCTGAGATAAAATTATGATATAATCAAGATGTTGATGTTCGACACTAACATAAACAAATTTTGGAAGGAAACTCCCATCAATACGAAATATTTTCCTCAAAAACTATTTTAAGAGATTTGTTAGACAGTTTGTCAATGAATGCCAAATATTTCTTTATGAAGAAACTGCTAATATTATCATGTCATAATATTAAAAATTTGTGCTCGCTCTCGAAGCTGTTTTTAAGCACATCCTCTTGGGGAAGAACATTGCTATCCACTAAAGAACAAAATACTAATGAACTACTTAAATTTCTGTCACATGTGAAAGTATAGTTATTTTATAGATGATGCTCTGAGTAATGATCATATCAAGGATGTCCTTAGACAATAAATACTCAGATATCTTCAATGTTCTTGGAGTGCATCCAATTCCAATTTATAATACCCCATCTCCAGACATTGTACCTATTTTCAGTAAATATTTTAGGGCATTGTTCAATCATTTCAGTAGTTTTTTATTTTCAGCTTCCTGAGGATTGTGATGACATACCAACATCATAAGCTATATCTTTTCTGGTAGCATATGTCATAAGTCCCAAATTCAGTGGAATTATTCTGTTGCATTTTCATTCAAGTCCTCTTCATTGGTCATTTTTTCTGGTTGTGAAGGAATTGCAATAACTTCTATGTTATCCTCTGTTTGGCATAGCTCACTCCTTCAAGAGTTTTCATAATCTTAATTGTCGGGGCCTTCTCTAGAGTTGTGATATTTTTTTTTAAATAGGTCTGAATATTCTCGCCAATGAATAGGAGACAAAAAGATAGCTGAAAATCCCCAACAAAGCTTACTGTAAGCAAGAGCAATAGAACTACTGAATATGAAATTGCCAAACTAAACAAAGCAATAAACATGTTAATTTATTTACATGTAGATGATCTCAACCAACCTCTGAAAGCAACTGTTACTATTTTTCAAGCTAGCCTCATTTGTTTGAGAGTTTTAATTCAACCAATGTAGGAAGCAGTGGTTACGTAAGATATGTAAACAAGTCAGATATTTGTGAAAAACAGGAATCGGTTTGTGTAACATAAAAGGATATACAAGGAAGTGATTTTTTATTTAAAAATTTTCTTACTAATTGTTCACACAAGTCCTAAGAGCCACCCAAGGTAGAGAGTTACTGAATGAGGCTGTTATACAAACATAAGAGAAGAATCTAAGAAGTGCAGAGTGGATATGTAGGAAAGATAACAGTTGAACCTAGATTGAAGCGGTTAAGATTGTGGCGATCAAGGAAGCATCCTCTTGCTTTCCATAAAGTAACTGTTCTTGGGAAGTTGTCCAAATGGAATATTCTTCTTACCAAGAGAATAGGCAGGATTTCTCTCTGCGTACATGACATGGTGGGTATTAGTAGTGAAGGTCTGAATTGGTAGAATTAGCAATAGTAGCAAGAGACTATTTTAACTTGTAAGAGTAATTCACAGAATTAAGTTTAACTTCAAACTTGGTGATTAATCATTACTTTTGACTGTTTTTGTATATCACTGATTGTCAATTTTGTATATTTAATCTCATGTGAAATGTAAACATTTAACATATTAGAGATTCTAATTTTTTAATTTGATATCATTTATATTCTGAGAAGAAAATTTATATTTGTTTAAAATGGTTTTAAATATGGCCCACTTAACCCTAAATAGGATTCTTGTTCATCCAATAGATCTTGCAACCTGTAAGTCCAGAAGCACATCCACATAGTTGAGATCTTCTGTTAGTATAAGTAACAGGATTGTATCCATTGTCATATAACTTACAGCACCTGTGGTCACCTACCTACAAATCTCAATGTTCCTTAACTTCAGTGATCAAATGAGAACCAGTATTTCAGTGTGATCTAGCTAGAAGCAAATAGTACAATGTAAGAATTGTTGGTGGTCCCCAGAGGTCCATCTAAAATGAGTATCTATAGAAAATTTTTTTTTATGAAATGTATTGACTGAAACTTGTCTATTTATAGCCATGTTACTGTTAAATCTCAAAGGAAATTCTATATGAGGAGCTTTTGAAAAGATCTGGTTTCCTTAAGATAATATGGTGATACTTTTTTTTTTTTTTTTTTTTTTTCGTTTCCCCCAGAGAGAAATGAAGCAAACATAACAAAACAAAAACCATCTTGACAGAATCCAATCAGAAAGATAAAAGTTAGCATGTTGTTTCTTTAAGTTAACCTGTCTAGCTTTCTCTTTGATATATATGCATAGTTTATAGAAAACTTCTCTTTTCATTGAGTTTAGGGATAATAGTCGACCTATTTTACCGATTTCTTTTAATACTGTTATCATTGACAGATAAATGATTTGATTTCATGAGATAATCTTATTTTGTCATGTTTTTGTTTTTTTTTTTTTTTTTTTTTTTTTTTTTTGTCTGATAATGCTTCTATGTATACATGTGAACCTTGTTCAATAGTAAATTTGTAATGATATAAAGAGCATTTCATCATGATTTGTTTGGCAATTATCTAAATGATTAAAAATTTCTCTTTTGTGTCCAGGATTAAAATGTATTACAGTTATAACCTCTCACTTATTAATATAATTCATTTCAAAAGAGCACACACTGATTCAAGATTTGTGTATGTGTAATGACTTTGTATTTTCAAAGAATGATTTATGGGAGTGGACATTGTTGACATTTGAACTATCATCTCGCATTAACTGCTAATCATTACTTTGGAATCCAAACTGACAGCTACATTTAGTTTTGTGATGCATTGCTGTGCATTGAAAGGAAAATGTACATAAAAGTCAATATGCCCACATGGTTTCTTGCTACGTAAATTATTTCACTCACAATAACCATGCTTACAGATACATCATGTTGAAACACCGGTTTCCATATGATCATCAAAGTTAAGCAATGCCAATCCTGGTCAGTACCTAGATGGATGACAGCTTGGGAATATCAGCTGCTGCAAGCGTGGATGTGTGGGTGGTGTAATGGATTATGGCCTGGCATTGTCAATTGGAGAGCAGAATTCCAATTTTTGTTGGGTTTGTTATATTAACTTATGCACAATACCCTTAGGAAAGGTATGAATTCACCTCCCTTAGCTATGGGTTAATTAGTAAGACTTGTATCACTCAACCATTATTATCTCAAAAGAAAAGAAAGATTCATGCAATCTAAAAATATTTTCTGTATTTAAATAATCTGCAAAGGGTGAAGGTGTAGAAAATGAATCAATCAGTTATGATAATAAAATTTCTTTCCTTCTCACTTTGAATAATATAAACAATTTAAACTTGAGCAGGATCACTTTGAAGCAAATGTAATTCATATGTTGTTTGTTTGATATTAAAAGATGTTTAGAGAATGTGGTTTTATGTTTAGGCTGATAGATATATATTTTTATACTATACTGTTTTTTTTTTTTTTGTTTTTTTTTTATTCTATATCATTAAATCTATTTTTGTTTCTATAAATCATTCTTAGTCTTGTGATCTTATTTTACAATTTCTTATTGTTTATATTATGATAGAAATCTGTTTGTGATCCCAGTTTTAACCTAGTCATTTTGCCATTTAGTTTCTAGACTAATTGCTTAGTGTTGTACCTTATCTGGATGAGTCAGTTATGTGCTGTGTATAATACACACTTAAGCGATCATGTATCTTTCAATACATGACTGACAAGGTAGATTTTTTTTCTAGCATTAGGTTGCCGTTTCTTTCTGTGGTAGACCAGTTGCCATCCAAGGCTATAGAATCCGATCTGTCCTGCTATATACCCATAGCTGGTGGGAAAAGAGGATTCATACCTTTCCCAAGGGTATTAGCATATAAGTGAATGTAATGGATTTGACTGGAGTTTGAACTCTGCTCTCCGATTCCTCAATCCAAGCTGCTATCCATTACTCAAACCGTAGTCTATATATCCTGGTTGTCATCTTTAAATCTGGCAAGAATTATCAAGGAGTCAGTCAGGTTTCACAACGTGATACCAACTGTAATCAGTCCACTGTTTTTGTAAAATTTGCATTATGATATGGTACTATTTTTCTCCTCTTTCTCTCTGTGTCTTCTGTCTCTCTCTGTATGCATCTCTGTCTTCACTAGTGAATTTTCAACCCGGATTCTTAACTAAAACTATACTAGTTTGGTAGCTGCCTAATACAGCTTCAGTAAAAGGATGTCTATTTTAATGGATTTAATTTCATATTAAGGATTTTATTTCTTTTGAATAGATCAGTTAAAAGAACCATAAATCTTTCATAGAATTAGTTCAGTACATGACATTACTAATGTTGTTCAAAAAATTCCAAGTTGATTCTGATACTCTGTGGGTATATTAGATTTTAAAAGGACTTTTCTGCTACTGTTAAGGACTTTTTACTCTCATTTGAAGTCACAATATTTTTTTTTTTTTTTTTTAATTAATATCTGATGTATAATGTCTTCCATTTAATTCTGACCTGGAAGAATGCTGTCTGCTTCTCTTGTAATCTTCTTGGGATGTATTGACATTGTAGGATGTTGTAAACAGTTCCTGATTGAGCAGTTATTCTATGCATTATTCTGCTTGTTTATAATTATTTTTATTAGATCCCCATATTTGAGTAGATGTTCTGTTTTTTTTTTTTTTCTACTGACTTGAATATTCGAGAAATCTTATTAAAAGAAAATTATGTGCTCTGTGGCAAGATTCGAGCTTGTAACCGAGTTGGTCAAACAAAGTTGAATCGTACCTCATAAATGCAAATCTTTCTCAGACTCTTGAAACATTCATAGCTACTCAGATTTGTATCTTAATGTAAACAAAGCAACTTCTAATGAAGTAATGGATTATTTATTAATCCAACAGATTTTATTCCTTAAACAGAGCATCTACTCAAATATTGTTGTCATCAGCACCGCTCATGTTAGTATGGTTCATCCAGTGCCTCCACGATGCTTGAACTTGACATGACTCTGTTCCATTCCCAACTTAGCCTCCAGTCTCTGGCATTGATCACATGGTGTTTGCTGGAGCTGCTGGGCCCTGTGTTGCCTTCTTTTTACTTTTTCTTCAGGCTTTCTTTTCTCAAAAGTGTAACAACTGAAATGAATTTTTTTTCACTAGGATGGATGGTCAGAAGCTTCTGTTTACCAGGTATTAGGGCTGATTCCAGCTTGAATTGGGGAAGATTTCAGTTGGTCTTTGAGCCTGTGTTTTGGGGCTCCATGATGTTGTTGATGAGCTTGCTGTAAAGGATGGTCTTCAGGAATCTTGAAGAGGTCATTTGAGTGACATGTCCTGACTATCTTATGGTTAAGGATGGCTGCTTCAATGCTCAGCATTACTGAGTGATTGAGAACTTCATTGTTAGTGTGTCAACCCTACCACTTTATTTTGGGGATCTGCCAGAGCTTGGCTTGTTGGAATTGTTCAAGCTTTTGCAGGTCCACAAGCATAGAGCAAGGTGGAGATGGCAATGGTGCAGACATCATAAATTTTGTTTAGAGGGAATGTCAAATATGGGTATCCACTAAAAATAACATTTAACTAATAAAATATGTTAGATTAATAAATAAAAATCCATCACTACCTTTTATTATATATATATATATATATATATATATATATATATATATATATATATATATATATATATTATAAAACAGGTTTGGTTAAATAATTTGGACATGTCATGTTGGTTAGTTTTCCAACAGTTGAAATGTTTTAAATTCACAAAAACATATATACTGCTCAGACAACTCTGAAGGTGGTCTCGGATGAGATTGAAAGTACTTGGAAAAAATAAAAACTATTTTTGAAAGAAAATTTTGGCATTTTCCTTACTCAATTTTCTAAGTCTACCAAAAATTTAATCCGCGAACTTGAAAAGATCACAATGTAAATTAATCGAAATATGTCTAAATTATTTAACCAAACTTATTTGAATGAAAATATACTGCCTAAATATACAAGAGATATATATTACATGCTTATTTTTTTAAAACTTTGATTAATGTATTAACTTTGGGAATTATCTGTGCCTAATAATTCCTTGTCCATTTCAGCTGGAATTTGTTGGGCATTCACATTATAAAAAAGCAAGAAAAAAGTTAAGAGGACACGATAGAAAATATTTGTTCATTCTTTTTTTTTTTTTTTTTTTTTTTTTTTAAATTTTGACTTAAAATTTTGTTTGCACATGAAATTGTGTATAATGTTTAAAATAAAACAGCCAAGAAATGAAGTTTCCTTCCTTCCCTGATAAGTACAATCTATAATAATTTAAATGCAATGTCACATACCGTCTTCTGAAACTCCATTCATTTTTTTTGTCCTTTCCTCGATCCTCCCTATTCTCGGTATTATTTCATTTTCACTCCCTGTAACCCTCTGTACTAGTGGCATTACCTCCTTGCTTGAGGTGAAATGATAAAAGCGTGAGAACAAGATACAGGCAAAGAGTAAGAGAAGAATGAGATAATGGATAATCTTAGTTGTCAACATCCATGGAATTTCTGTGGGTAATTATAGTAAATAGTATTGGTAAGGAGGTTTAATCTTACCATCAAAATATGACAAAAATATTTAAGTAATTTTGCAATTACATTGGTTATTGTGCTAGTTATTACATTGGTTATTGTGCTATAAGGGAATTTTCAATGTTAGGTTTAAAGGTCCGTTTTGAAAGTAAAGCTTGTGCTTACTTTGGTTGCACAGATTTCATATGGTTCATGCAGAAAAACAATATTTTGGTTCAATGGCTAGTGTTAATCTTCACGAGTTGCTTCCCTTGGACACTCTCCAAACTAGGAAGGGTGCAGTCTTAGCTTGAAGCAATGAGCAATCATCTTTTACTTGAAAGCCACATGTAGAATGAGGCAGTTGGAATAAATCATTCTCTTCATTGTTTTAAGATCCTTAATTTGAATTTACAGCTGGGACAACAAATACTTGTTAACCAAGTAGACTGATGTTTATGGACTATTGGCATTTGTATGGGTAGTGGGCATTGAAAAGTCATGTTTTCCAAAATCTAAACATCTGAATTTATTTTGAAATCTCTTCTTGGTCATATCAGCGCACTCTTGTAAATTGAATTTCTTTTACCCATATCATTAAAAAAATTTTGGCAAGTTTTTGAAATCTGTATTTTTTTTTTTTTTTTCCACAAAATTAAATCTATTGTCATAGATTTAAAAAAAAAAAAGGAAAAAAAAAAAGTTAAATTCATCTGGTCTCAGTTTAAACTGATCCCTCCATCAATCATATTGTAAGCAAAGAAGATTGAAATTTATGGCCTATTGCCACAGATACATGTGGGGCTATTGTAAAGCTCCCAGTCCCTTATCCACATTCCAAAATCTGACTAAGCATCAGAATTTATTTCAATCCTTTTTTGGTCAGCCCTCTCTTGTAAATGCAATTTCTTTTACACATTTCATTAAAAAAAAAAAAATAATGGCAAATTTAATTTTGCAATTGCATTGGTTGCATTTTTGGTCAGAGTAATCTAGAATTTTTATCAATGCAATTAACTCTATTTCCACAAGTAAAAAAAAAAAAAAAAATATATATGAATCCATATCCTGATGGTATCAGTTTAAACTGCTGCCATTTTTCTTTCATTATATTTTAGCCATTTTGTTTACAGTTGATACTTTGATTTCAGGTAAAAACTTGAAATTTTACCAAGATATTTTGGTGAAATTTTCACTTTTCAAAAATAATTATAGTTTATGATTTAGATATATGGAAACTCAATGTAACAGTTTAAATGGATACCAGGAAGATAGGAGTTAAATCATTGAAATCTGCATACACAAAGAAAGCTGACACAAAATTAAAAATAAAATGTAATGTATTAGGCTTGATTTCTCCTATTTACTAATGAGATATTTTCTTAACTCCTGTGATGATAAAATTGGAATATTTCCTTACTAGGAGGAAATTTTGTTACAAGATTGAATATCACTGAATGATG